CGCACATCAGCATACCTTAGTAGTAGCTTTTACAAACTGAATTAAATACTTGCGAATGAAATCATAACCAAGGGCAAATATTACATAAAAAAGCGATGACGGTTTTTGCAAAAATGTGTTTCAAATTACATTTGTGTGCAGTTGCATGAATGCCTTTCTGTCTAAAAGCGTATTATGTATGGGTTGCAGTCTTTCCTTTTCACAACCATGGCAGGAAAGAAGTTCCGCAGTTTGTACCTCGGTAAGGTGGAGGTGGGAGCAGTGTAACAACAGTTTTAAAATGAAAGGCCACAAGAAGTGATATTTACTCTGACTCTTCCAGTTCAAAACTGTTATTACTTTAAAGAAAACCACATTTAAAGTGTCTAACCACGAGTGAATGCTTTTCTGTTTATTTCTTGTCTTTCGGTTTCTTCAGAAGGAAGCTCCTCAGATGGTTTGGCACTGAGTACAAGTGACCAGGCCTTCCCCGGCCATGGGGATTGCTCTGCCTGTAGACACAGGGACCATGTTGGAGTGTGTGTGTGATAGCTGTTTCTATACATGGACAAAATTCAGTTTACCCTTGCAGAGCACATCACATCTGCTCATACAGACTAAAACAGCGGCCGCTGAAGTGCGTGGCAGCAGCACTGTTCAGTACCACAGGAAACATTTTGGTCAGCGGTGAAGTGTGTTTCAGTAGCACAGGGTTGCTTGGGTTTTTGTAATTAGGTTTCACGGCAGAATGATGAGGAGGGTGTAACATAAATAGGGCTTTGAGAAGCTGGGCTGAAAATGTATGACAGTCATTAGTTTTATCTGTGTTTCGTTTGTTATAGACACTCATCACTAGGCAACATGATTGCATGAGAGGGCTTTAACTGCTCTGCCCTTTGTTCACTTTTTTAATTGATCTTGTACTGTGTTATTCTATTTTGAAGCTTATGCTTGGTAGGTTAGGTAGGTTATTGGTAGGTTTTTTGGTTTTGGTTTTGTTCTTTTGGTTTTTGGGTTTTTTTTTGTTGTTTAGCAGACTGTCCATGATAGAAGCCCATAGAAATACAAGTTTTATTTCTTAGTTCTTCCTTGTATTCCTGTTTGCCCTTTACCACACTTGTTGCCAAGACATGTTTTGCTAAACACAGAGTAATTTAAACTGCTAATTACTGCCTTTTAAAACTTCTAATGGCACTTTCTACTTCTAGTATTTCTCTTACAGACTTTTCCCTAGGAGAGGCCTACTCCCATAGCCATGGTCTGTGCTGAGTCAATAGCTCTGATACCGTTTTCCCTTGGTGGTGATGTGTGTAGTGGCAAGATTGTGAGACATAAACAATCCTTAAGCAAGCTCACAATCATACAGTTGGGTTTTTTTCTTGTGTGCTTGATACATGCATATCTGTGCTCTTCTGTGGAAGGTGACACCAATTGCACATATACTGGGTTTTTTGTTTTGTTTTTTTTTCAGAAACGTGTTTTAGCAACTTTTTGGTTTGTTTTCTTGTTTTTAGGCTTGCCATGTTCATAATGAGAGAGCCTTAGAGTTACACTAGACTTTCTTGAGCCTGCTCTGCTGTCATCAGCTGTGACTTTCTTCCTGCAAATGTCATTTTAAAAGACTCGCTTTGGAATGTACTGTGTCTGTAGTAAAGGGTATTTTCTGAAAACCTCTTCCTGTTGAATGGTTGCCTTCTCAGAGAGTTTGTATCTTATTATAATTACCGCTCAGCTGCCTCTTTTCTTCTGTATCTGATGCAGAATAACTATCGTGACAGAAGGACGATGTCTGAAAGCAGACATAGGAAGGAAAACTGGGTGGGGAAGTAATGTCAAGTAACTAAAGCCATAAGAATTAGAGAGGGGAAAGTATTATGGTATGTATATCAAGCACTCCCTACCCAGTTCTTGTAGCAAGTGTCCCCTAAAGTAGTGATCTTCAACTGGAATCCTGTGGGATCCTTGGTACCTGTGAGAGCTTGGTGCCGTCCCGACACCACAGGACTCCTCCACCCCCAGCTTGATGGGAAGAGCAAAAGATGAAGGTGCTTGCCCAGCATCATTGCCAGCAAAGTTTAGTGTTTATTATGCTGTGCCACTCCTCTATATTGTCAGGTTTTATGCTGCAAAATAGTGTTGTGGGAGTCCGGTATTGCCTATTGGAGTTAAGTCACTATGTTAGATTCCACAGTGATATTCAGCCTCTGGCCTATGATGGGACACTGCTGCTACCTGGTTTTATGTGCTAAAAATAATTTCATTCTTTGGTGCTCCCTCTTGACAGTCTTAATATTCAGATTATGTAATACAGGTCTCTTGAAGTATTAATCAGTAAATAATTGGATTTGATGTTGTTTAACTACCGCTGTTTTAATTTTCTCTTTTCCACTCCCAGCTTGGTGATCCATCTATTTTCCCTGCTGTCATTGTGGAGCATGTTCCTAGCGCAGACCTCCTACACAACTACTCTGGCTTATCCTGCGTGGATGAACCCAGTGACATGATCACTGAGAGCTCTCTGGATGTCGCAGAAGAGCAAATAATAGAAGATGATGATATCACCCTCACAGGTTGGCAATTAAAATATTTCTGTGCCATGTTTTTGCACCACGATGGTTGTGGCTAATGGTGGAAAGAGCTTAATGATGAAAAACAACGGGAAGCAAAATTATGGTAGCATTGAACGCTGTTAATTCTGTACAAGACAGAGAAAATGGCTTTAATACCATTAGCAGGTGCTTGGAGTCCCAGCTCCACAGCTGATAATGGTGAAGAGTTTCATCCATCAACAGAGATTAAGATGGAGTCCTGCTCAGAGTACCAACAGGGTTTTTACTTTGCTCTTCATAGGATTTGTTTGTTCTTATTTAATGGTTGGTACGTACCTGAGTAAATGTATGTACCAAAAAACAGGCATATGCAGCTTGACTAGATGTACTGTTTTTAGCTCCCTGAGGGTACACAATTAGACATAAAATGTGCATGTTAACGTGACTTACTGGTGTGAGCATGCTCATCATAGTATTCATTTTGGATCTCTTATAATGATTAGTGCCGAAAGTACAGATGTTCTATGTAAATTCTGTGAGAAAAGGTAGCCCCAAAGAGAAAACAGTTCTCAAGAGGAAAGCTCAAATATGTCACTTAAAAACCAAACCAAACAGGCTTTCACTGGATGCACACATTTGAAGCATTTTTGCAGATTGAGGCTGAAAGGTGAGGCACACGCTTCACAAAGTGAAGATCTGTTTCTGTGTCTCTTTCAGCCATCAGGTTCCACAGCTGGACCCTCTCCAGGGCTGGAGATGGTTTGCTGGGTTCGATCACGCTTTTGACATATTTCCAAAGGCATACCCTGATACAATCTTTTACCACCAAAAGCAGAACAAAAACTCGACAAAACTTGACATGAGGAGCAGTTCACAGTGTAAATTGACATGGGCTGTTCTCAGTAAATGGTTTTATCTGATAAATGTGACTCCTCTTTTTTTTTTTCTTAGTAGTGAATTATCTGTGAACAGACTGTGACCATACAAATAAGTTAGCTGCTTAGTCAAGAAGGTTTCACATACTTAAACATTATTTCAAGTTGAGACCTCTTGCCAACTATTCACTCGCTATTCATATTAATTATTCACACTGCAAGTGGCATTTCCTCAGTGTGTTACTTAAGCACCACTCAGCGCGGCTGTGTGAATTTTTCATAGCAGATCATTTTTGTGAATCCATATTTGCTGTAATATGTTGTGTGTGAATTTTTACTTGCATGAGTAATTGTGAAACTCCACTTTTGTGAATGCTCTTGTTAACATTTTTTTTTTTTGCTGCTGGTCACATGAGAAGGGTTTGCAAATTGCTGCCAGAGACTGAAAATATGTAATCCTTGTAACCGATGGTGTCCAAGGGTTTCTGGGATATTTTGGAGGCAGACAAGTATGGTATTGTTCCCATCATCCGTTGTAGTTCAAGCCCTTTGGTTTTCTTTAAAGGCAAAGTCCTTAGGAAACTGGAGCTGCCACTTTGCAGAGATTATTCTGAATTCGGGGACCATGGGGTGCGAAGACAACCCACAGGAGGTGAGAAGAGGACTTTGGGGAAGGAGCCCTTGTCACCTCCCTGCCTGCTGCAGGCAAGCATCGGCCGTGCCCGCAGCTGAACTGCAAGGCTGCTGTGGAGAAGACCCGGTTCAAGCGCAGTTTGCCGTAGGCTGCCTCTGAAGTGGATCTAATTGTAACTGAAATTTCCCACCTACTCAAGTTTTCATCTGTTTTTGTTGTGTTTTTTTTTATCCCCTCTCTTCTTTGAAATTCCCGTCTTGATTTTTTTGTTTTCATGGGGCATGTTTGGTCTCAGCAGTGAAACATGTTGTTTTGCTCTTTGAAGTTTGTACCGGGCTTTTCGGCTACTGCTGCATTATGCCTTTGAGAAGGCATCAGACATTATAAAGACTGTACTAATTCCATGTTAAAATATTCATAAAACCTGAAGTTCACAGCAAAACGAAACTGAAACCACCATCATTTGTGACTAAACATTACAGAGAAATGGCTGCTTAATACGCAGGATTTGTTTTCTTTTAAAGTTACCAGTTTTTCAGTACTGTTTTACGACTCTGTCGTGTATTAAGCTTCTCTTTTCTCCCAAACTAACAGAAATTAGCAGTAGGTCTCCTGAAACTGATGCAATTTGTTTTTATGGATCTATCTGCAGAATGATGGGAGCTGGTAGTTTTTTTCCATCTGTAGGATGTAGCTTCAGCCTTTCAAAACCACAGCTGCCACATGGCTTACCTGTAGTGTAAATTATAACCTGCAGAAAACTACCAGAACATCTGTTTCGTGTGAAACCTTGTTTGAAAGATGGCTAACAACCAGTTTTTCAGTTTCGTTAATGCTCATGCTTTAATTATTTTATAATGAATAGGCAGACTTGTCACTGTCTTCTTTAAAAGCACTTTTCCATGGAAAAACTGCAATGGCAATTTATATGGCCAGTTTGTTGCCGGTATTATGGGACTTTAAATGATTGCTGTCAGGTAGTAAAGGGTGATTAAGAAAATAAATTGGAGCATTTGGCTTTGAGAGAAGTTTTATCTCTAAAGGGAATATTGAATTGGGTTTTCTTTCTCTGAAAAATACAGGGAATCATATTTTCTGCAGAATAACTTCTAGGCCAACTCTTCAGATGGTACAATTCGCTACACTTTATTTACCATCTAAATGTAACCTACAATTACAAGATGCGTGGAAGGGAGGAACTGATTGAATTATGCAACTTCCTGAAAACATTTTTTAATATTTTTATTTTTTTTAACTTTGCCATGTCTGGCCAGCTTAATTTAGAAAAAGAACAGTTAATCAAATTCGGTCATTTTGTTGTTCACCTGTTCTGGTGTTGTTTTGATGAGACCAGGGAAGTGGCTGCACTGAGTTTATGGGGGTGAGGGAGGAGAAGCAGAAAATTTGTGCTTAGATGCCCTGTGCCCTTATCTGAGTTGGGAGCCTGGAAGTGTCCTTCTTCATAGATCCATAACAGTGCTTAATAACCAGTTCAGAAGTTATTTACAGCATTTTGAAATTGGGGAGCATTTGGCTTGTACATTTGGTGAAATTTTAGCATTTGTGGCACAAGCCAAGCTGGTCAGGCAGGAGAACGAAGGCAAAGAGATGTCAGGTGCTGCAGTCCTGCACAAACCCAGCGTCTTCTGTGATCATTTATGGTGCTACAACGAAATCCAAAGGAGTAGGCAGGTGGAAACAGGACCTTGCAGTGTTCATTTGTGAGGGTTTTTAGTTGACAAGATGCCAATTGTAAAAAAACAGGTAAGGTTTCAGTTATTTTGTAAAGAAATTATTCACCGGTGCTTGTAGCGTCTGGTTAAAAACAGCGAGTGTTTTCCATATAGCCCCGCAGTGACACAATTTTCCTTACAAATTTTAAAGGCTTATTTAAGAAAGAAAACAAAGGGTAGGGTCGCCTGAAATACCTGTGTTCTTAAACTCAGTTTTCCAGTGTCAGTTACCAGTCAGCTCCCAGTTGATATTAAAAAGCAGTCACTTAAATTTAACAACTAGCTATTCTGCAAAAGGGAGCTTTACTTTTAGCACCCTTAGATTTCTTCTGGTGATACTTCGAGGCTCTGCAAACCCCGTTGTTGTCTGTAGTAAAACCAGCAGTGAATTCAGGCACTGCTCTGCCCAGTACAGCCTTTATCTTGGCCTGGACAAGGACTCGTGTTGTCCACCCTCTGGAGCAACAGGAGCGGGACGGGATGGCTGGAAATGGGGTAAAGCTCTCAAAAAAGAGGCCAGGCAGGAGCAGGGAAAGCAGGACTTTGAACTGAGGCCTGCGGGGAGCTTCCAGAGTGCAGTGTGGTTTCGTTCTCCACCGGATGAGCAGCACAGAAAGCTGTGTTTGAGCAGGCCTTGCGCTAGCACCGCTGCTGATTCACAGCAAACCTGGGCTCGCAGTAATTGGGCTGTAATTGGCGGGCAGATACAGAGGCTGTGGCTTGCTCAGATGAACAAGAACTGGTAGAGTACCCTGGGAAAAAATGAAGTTACTTTTGGGTGTGGTTCCCTCCCTTCCCCCCTTTTTTTCCTTTTCTCTTCCCCCCTTTTTTCCTTATTCCTTTTTTTGCTTTCCTCTTTTTACCTTTCCTTTTTTCCCTCCTACTTTTTTTCCTTTTTTCCTGTTTTTGTTGTTTTTTTTTCAAGTTTATACCTGTTTAAGACAAAGTTTGCGATCTGATGCTTCTCTACCACCACTCTTTCAGCTCTGACTTTGTCAAAGTGTAACAAATAAGCCATTTCATCCTAATTCTTCTTAAATTTGTGACTGTATCGTGAATGCCTGTGATTGGAACACCTTTCTGCTACATTAAGAGAAACACTAACATAGCAGACACTGACTTGCCTTTGGTAGTTGAGTCTCAGGTGATATGAATTAGCATCTTGCTGCTCACAGGACAGAGAGGTGGTTCTCCATTTCCTCTGTGTGGTACTTCACACCTTGTTTGTGTTAGATCTTGAGTTCTTGTAATTCAACTTGCTAACCCAGTAAAACCCAAACCACTTCTTTTAAGCCACTTTAAAAACCTAAATTGTCTTGCTGCGTGATCAAAAAAAGCGTGAAGCCTGGCTTCTGTTAAGTGACAGGAGTTTGGATCATGAACCAGGGGCAGAGATGGGAGGCAGAACCACAGCCCTTGTTTTTTCAGCAGCAGGGAAATATGAATTTAGCTCAAACCACCTTGTGAAGTCACCATCTAAGAAGAGGCTCGAAGGATGTTAGCAGGGACATTAATGTGATTAAGAAACTTATTTTTTGCCACTTTGTGGATAGACTGCTGGTGCTCCTTACATTTTGTGAGCATCAAATGATATTAATTCCTACATTTATGTTATTTATATAAATATTATAGGTACCCTCTGCACCTGCAGCTCTGAGAACGAGGGGGTGCTGCTGCTGGCTTTTAAATTGTATGTGGCAGCGTAAACCAGCCCCGCTCAATGGCTTCAGCTGAGCTGGATTGTGGTGGGTTACCTTCCCGTCCCCTCAGGCTACGTCAGAACTGATGACAGCTGCATTGGCAGTGCTGTGTGTGATATTTAGGGTGACGGTCTTATGGTGGTAGATGGTGTGGGAAGTTCCCATACAGATAAAACGTAGAACCAGAAGTGATCAAGTCAGCACACACTCACTACCTCCCCTTTTCTCTTAACGCTGTCCTCCTCCCCAGCTCTGCATTTCTCATTTCTTAAGCCCCTTTGGAGATGGCAGCCAGAATGTGCAGGTCCTTAGCTCTCTGAATGTCTGTGCAAGATATGGGGTGGGGAAATCACAGAATCACAGAATGTATTGGGTTGAAAGTAACTTTTAAAACTCATCCAGTGCAACCCCCCTGCAGTAAGCAGGGACAGTGTTACCAGATGAAGTTGTTCAGAGCCTCATCAAGCCTGACCTTGAATATCTCTGGGGATGGGGCCTCCACCACCTCTCTGGGCAACCTGTTCCCATGATCTACCACCCTCATATTGAAGAACTTTTTCCTAATATCCAACCTAAATCTACCCTTTTCTAGTTTAGAACCATTACCCCTTGTCCTGTTGCTACATGCCCTAGTGAACAGCTCTTCCCCAGCTTTCTTATAGGCACCTTTCAGGTATTGGAAGGTCGCTGTAAGGTCCCCCAGAGCTTTCTGTTCTCCAGGCTGAACAACCCCAACTCTCTCAGCCTGTCTTGGTAGCAGAGGTGCTCCAGCCCTTTGATCATCTTTGTGGCCCTGCTCTGGACCCACTCCAGCACTTCAGTGTCCTTTCTGTGTTGGGGACTCCAAAGCTAGACACAGTACTCCAGGTGAGGTCTCACCAGAGCAGAGTAGAGGGGCAGAATCACCTCCCTCGCCCTGCTGGCCACACTTCTTGTGATGCAGCCCAGGATGTGGTTGGCCTTTTGGGCTGCAGATGCACATTGGTGGCTCATGTCCAGCTTCTCATCCATTAGTACCCCCACGTCCTTTTCCTCAGGATGGTCCTGTAGACAACAGGGTGAGTTGGTGTGTGGTCAGGGATTCCCAACATCCCTCTACTTTATTCTGTCTTAGGCTGAGCCTCTGGTGCTTGGGGCATGGTAGGACTAAGGTCACAAAGTATCCGGAAGGTAAGGAGGCTTCTCCTGAGCTCTGTGTGCTGCCTGTAAATCACAGCTGGGTGGAGGAGATAGGACTGATCCGCAAATGTCTGCATTCATCTTTGCCCTTTTTCCTACTGGTACCATGGCTGTAGCTGTAAATATTTGGGGTGAAACTGGGGTTTTTTGGTTTGTTTCCTTTATTTAATTGGTGATTGTTTGTGCTAGTGAGCTGAGTGCTTTGTTAATACGATTTTTTTTTTTAAGTATAGAAATTCTGGCATAAACCTCATGCTTTTATGTGAAGGAGGAATGTTGCAAGGTCATTGTGCTGTGTTTTATGGTGCATTTTTGCTTGCTCTGTCAGTCAGCCTCCTTTCTTTTTCTTTTTTTATGTTTTTATGACTGCCCCACCCGAAATTCCTGAAAGCTGAGCAGGGAGAGAGGGTGTGAAGCTGACTCATTACAGCCTGAGAAAGTAACTGAGGTTCGTTGGTATCCTAGGGAGGGGAATGCTAATGCAGCCCTTTGTACCGCTTTGATAGGTGCAAGTGAATTCCCCAGCTTCGCTTCAAATCCCCCTCAAAGGATAAGGGAGCCTGGCCCATGCAATACAACAAAAAGTAATTTCTGAAAGAATGCTTTAAACGTTTCTAAAGGTTTACGATACCAGGTACAGGAACTAACGTCTAACTCCTTTGTCATGCTACGGTTATTTTGAAATTAAAAATAAAAATCCCCTGGTGAGGTACTCCTCCGGTCAAACCAGTGTGATATTCTTGGACAGCTGTTATTTTGCAAAATGATATTTTATTGGATTTTTTGGTATGTAGCTTCAGATGACCTTAATTATAAATTAATGCTCAAGAGCTTTAAATTTGTCTAATGGCCACCCTCATGAGATTGATGAGAGATGGTCTACGAGTCCAAATTTTTGAAGAGTTTGCCAGCCTTCTCTATTGCTTTTCATGTTTTATGTTTGCTTTCCAATGTGTTTGTGGAGCCCTACGTATAATTCCCATGGATACAAATGGTTTAGGTTTTAGTTACACCTTTGGATCATATACTCTCTAATAGAAGTTGTGGAATATTTTCTTGTCTGTCCTGAGGCTGAATGACAGGATATTTCTGGTGAGCGTCTCCTAATTATGGAATTCACTTCCTTTACACCACCATAAGAAGAAATTAGCAATATTGTTTTATTTAGAGTACTATCTAGAATATTATTTGTGGTAGTGTTGTGTCTTAGGGTTCATGGGTGTTGTGTTTTACTGCATGTACTTGATCAGCAAAAAGAGGGGTTTGAAAGATCAGAAACATAGGGTTTGTATTGGTTTTGGCTTCTTTTCATACATACAACCTGAAAAATGTAGTGGATTAAATAAATGAAGTGATTGCAGTGTGCATTTTCTCCCCAGCTGACCTGTTGCTCCCCATCTAGTAGAAGACCATGTTTACCACTTTTTTTTTTCCTAGAAATGAAGTAGGGATAAATACCATGTTAAGCTTTAAGTCCCGTTTGTAGCTCATTAGTAATTAATTTTTCTCTCTTGCTTTCAGTTGAGGCGTCTTGTCACAATGGAGATGAAACAATGGAAACAATCGAGGCTGCTGAAGCACTTCTTAATATGGACTCCCCTGGTCCTATGTTGGATGAAAAAAGAATAAGTAAGTTTGTTATGAAAGCAAGTCCAATCTATATTTGCCTTGTTTATTTGTGAGAGAAAGAGGGATTGCAGCACAGTTGCATGGACTTGGTAAGGTTATTTTGCTTCCAGGTAGACTTTACGTACACAGTTTGGATATCAGAAAGCCAGTGTTGTATGCAATGAAGGATTTCATTGCCATGTCAGAGTTGAACAGGTAAGGAAAGAATCAGGAGAGGAAAGGTGTGAATGAAGTTGGGTGGTTTAGATTGCAGTGTTTTATTTGGCTGATAGAGGATTAGTCTATTTATGTTGCTAAGATAAAAGAATATACACTTACATCTGCAGATTGCCTCGAAGCTAAATAAAAATGTGTGATCACCCAATAATTGTGCTTTTTGGGGGAGTGGGTTGTATCATTAAATTGTTCTGATTTAATAGAGCTTCTGCTTCTGTAAAATGTTGCGGGTGGATATATTCCATTACAAATTAGTCCTTAAGTGTCAGAGTTCTATTTTATTCTATGTTTGGATTTTTGCTGGTAAAAAAAATAGCTTTTAAAAGTCCTTGTGGATGTGTGAAAATATTCCTGATTGTCCCTTTCCCTTAAGCAACTATGTTTGGTGCAACCGAAGATGATGATATGGTGGCTCCTATTACACACGTGTCAGTCACACTTGATGGGATCCCTGAGGTGGTGGAAGTTCACCAGGCCCCAGACCCTTACGCCGAATCACCAGAGACTCCAGAATTTGAACAACCAAAGAAGAAAAAAGGTAAGATGCTACGGGAGCACAGTGGCGTGGTGTAGGAGGGCAGTGAGTGTCACACTCTTATGCCCTGTGAGTGTCTGAACCATTCTGGGTGTCAGGTCAAAGTAACTGAGCGTGCTCAGCTAGAAGTACACAGAAAGCATTTTCTCACTGGGAGTGTGAGCACAGATACTGGTGCTTAGACACTGATGATCTTGGAGAGGTACCAATGCTGGCTTCTCCCACAGAAAATGTGAATCTCTGCTTGTTCCTGTTCATAGTTTCTTCTTCAGAGCAGAATTGCAATGCAAGCTATAGAGCTTGTATTACTGTGAATCCTGAAGTACTTTAATTAGCTCTTATTTAGATTCAACTAAAGATACTTGATCTATTCAGAATATGGGAGGAGAACAAGGAGGGATTTTTAACTTTTCTTGAATATGAATGGTTTAATTCTATTTTTTTAAAATAGCTGCATGCTGTAGTAAGTGTTAGTCCCATTTGCAGTGGATAACGTTTACACATGGTCCACTGAGTGATGTTTCATTGGGGTCCGTGCTGTGCCAAAGAGAAACAAAGCGGTGTTAGTCAGACCTGCTCCTGTTTTCTCACCCTGCTTCAGCGTGGACCACATCAGAGGTCTTGAAGCTGATGTCTGGAGTGGAAAAAAAAAAAGTCACGCACCGCAGGCAGATGTAAGGTGCTGTTGCAACAAATTTTTTATAAAAGAAAATAAACGCAGAGAGTTATGTTTCTGGAACTGATCCCTGTGCTGATTCAAAGCATTAGGACTTTGATAGGTTCCCCTGTGAAATAAAAACCTTCCAGAACATGGCTGCTGCTACCCAGCCATACCCCTGCTGAATGAGAGTGCATTTTTGCTGCTGCTTCTAAATGTTGGGAGCTCTTATTGGTGAGAGGGAGCATATCGGCCTGTGGAGATCTTGGGGAAGCCTCCTGAGTCCTGTGTGTGTCACAAGGTCTGGCTGAGATGGGTGTGGGTTGGGAAGGCTCTGAGTCCCATAAGAAAACTGAACTGAAACCGCTCTGGAGAAGAGCTTTACCAGCAGCTGACCTGAGTGTGCTGCTGGGGAAATTACCGTGCTGTGTGCACTGCTGTGAGATAACAAACTGTAAGAGGATTTTAAACTGGTTTTTTGGTTTTCTTCTTTTTAATGTTGGCTGTATGTGGGTCAAAACAAGGAGCCGCTGTCTGCCAGACAGTTAACTTCTTTGCTTGATACCCTCTTTTGTATTATGCTTCTGCTTACTCCCACTCCTTCCTCCTGCCTAGCTGAACGTTAGAAAACCAGTTGCTTCACAGCAAATGCGTGTGTTTGGTTTTGACAGTTACATTGGACAGAAAAATACTAGAAAAGATGCATCAACGTAGTGTTTCATTAACTACTGCTTTTCAATGAACTTGAGGCTTCATGAGGGAGATGGTCTTGTGTGAACAATGCTGAAGTGTTACTTCAAAATGTCCAAGCATTTGTAAGGCATTGGCATGCAACAATTACTGCAAAATATTGTTGATTTTGTAATGCACTTTAGCATGACTTGCAGTGTGTAGGTGGGGGTTTTTCCGATTTGGTTTGGTTTGTTATTTGAAGTGCAGTCTGTTTCCATTCCTTTGGTCAGTTTTGTGGCGCAGCAGAGGGTGGTGCCCATTCTGCCTTATCCATACCGCTCATGATTTTAGAGATTTCTAGCATATGTAGCCCATCAGCAAAACCTGTAGGGTTGCACTGTGCAGACCATTGCGGGGTAACTGAGCCAGAATGGCACTGCCAAAAAACTTCTCCAGAAGTGATGAGGTGATTTCGCTTCCTTTTCTTGCGGGCCTTATTGCTGCAGCAGGAGAGCTGTATCCACCCATCTGCTCAGCTCCAAATCCACGTTCAGCATGACCTTTGCACTTGTGAATGTCTGAGCTGCTTAAAGATGGATCAGAAAGACAGGTAAAACAAAGGAATATCAGAGAAGGAAACTTGGAAATTTGCTATACTAATACCTTCGGTCCCGTTTTTGCTATGGGAGGTATCTGGCAGTAGGTGGTCACCTAAGTTATATACACATTGCATTTTAGTTATATACTGTTTTTAATATTTTTATTTGCATTACATTTTTTAAAACAAAACCTGCTGAAAACAGTGCAAGAAAATGTATGGAACTTTTTCTGGTGTGGTGTAAGATACTTAATCAGAATGAGCATCTCTCTTTCTAAATATCAAATTGATTTGTAGCATGAATTTGTAACCTGAACTGTTTTTGCAACCATGGAAATAGGAAAGTAGAAATAGCAATTATAAATTCAGTAGTTATACAAAATTACAGAAGCCCCACATAAGGCTTAGCTCTTGCACATTTTTCATCCTTCCTCTTTGTAAAATTCTCTCCTAAAAAGGATTTTAGTGATGTACTCTGAAAGGTAACAGATTCGTGCTCTATTGAACCGAAGGAGGAAGTGTGCTAACGCTTAATGTGCTTTCAAAAAACATCTTCGTTTAAACAAAGGAAACGTATCTTGTGTGTCTTTGTTAACTGTGTTTCTGATGGTATCAGTCAGTGCTTGGAAATTATAGTTCACAGTGTAGTCTAAACCTCTCGTCTTAAGTATCTCTATCCCAGATACAGAGCAGTAACATCAATACCTTTCTGTAAATGAGTTTCACATTCTTCACTGATTTTGGATGGGTTGATGGTAGAGAATTGTCCGTATAGGGTGTCTTGAAGTAGTCTAGGCTGAGGTAAGAGCCTAGAATTGCTGTAGCAGTAGTGTTCACTTAGTAACTTATGTTATCTCTGATCACAGAATCACAGAATGTTAGGAGTTGGAAGGGACCTCAAAAGATCATCCAGTCCAACCCCCCTGCCAATCACAAGTGCATATATTATATGTAATTGGTATTTGTGTTCCCTGAAGTTGACCAGTGGTAGCTCAGTCATAACCTAATAAGCCTTCATTTTGTTTTCAGACCCGATTTGGACACAAGGTAATTAATTAGATCAAAATAACACCCCCACTCCTTAATGGCATACATTACATCTGTACAAGAGGGGAAATGAGATGAGCACCTGGCAGAGCCTTCCCATAACAGAACTCTAAGGGGAGAAAAGGACTGAGGGACTTCTTGTGCAGTAAAAGCTGATCTGTACAGGAGTGACTTCATCTAGACATTTGAAGGAAAACAGACAGTTCTGCAACCAGTAATGCTGTTAAAAATGTGCTCCAGCAGTTCTTTATCCTTTCATATGATGATACACAAAAAACCCCAATATTGTAGGATTTCCTCCCTCCCATCTTCATTCAAATCAAGGAAGACATTACTGGCCGAGGCGATGGATGAACTTTATGTCCCATCCTCAGTCGTGAATCCTGTCTTAATGGAAGCAAGAAAATTAGAGGACTCCAGGCGTTAATAGAGTTTCCTCACTGTAGCTCTCCCAGCTTAACCAGCTCTTCCTCCACCCCATGCCCTGTCAAAAAAAGAGAGAGAAAGGAAAAGGTGCAAAGGTGGACTTAGCAAGACTTAAAAGCAAGACTTAAAAGATGAATGCTCAAGCCAGTGTTTCTTGTAGCTTCTTTACAGATACCTGAAAGTCTAGAAATAAGAAAACAGCACAGGCTGGCACTGAGCTGCGTTTTTTTTCACAGGTTGTGAAAAACCCTCATGCTTACTCTGCAGCAGAGCTGCTTCCTTACTAAAGCAGCCCCTAAAAACAAAACCAAAAGTGGAACGTCACAGTGTACAGGATTGCAGAGGCCTATTCGTCATGCCTGTGTAGAACAAAAACTCTTGGAGACTTTAGAGTAAAGATCTAAAATTTAGATCTTTAATTATGACAATGGGTTATTAGAATTACATTTCTCTGAGTCCTGTGTCTGCTTGGTCTGTTCTGCCTCTCAAATGAGCAGAGGTAGTATGTGAGTAATGTAGGTATTGTCAGTGTACTAAGGTGTCACTGCAAAACCTGATAAGAGGAATTGTTTGTTTCATAAGGAAGGTTTCTGATGAAGTACATTACCTGTAAAAGCTGCCACTGCAGGGAATGAGAACTAATAAAGGAATATGTCAAAGCTTTTATGTTGAAAAATACTTCAGCATGACTTAAATATTTTACTCCACTTATGCTTAGACAGTTGATTTCTCAACATTTCCAGATGAGTGCTCTTCAGTCTTCTCATCAGTTGTAACTAACTTCTTCCTTTCGGTCTTCCTCACCAGACAGAGCCACCATACTTACGGCTTTAAAAACTGGTGGCTTTTCAGAGCCTGTTGCTGGTTCTGCGAGTCTTAAAAAACAAACAAGTGGCTTTCCTTTATGGTAGCCACTGTTGATAAAGGTGTAAAAGACAATAGGACTGAGAAATGTTTTTTTCATGTGACAGTGTAGTTTGCTGCTGTCAGTGGGGACTTCCAGTCTATTAAACAAGCAGACAATCTTGTTTTAATCCCTAAATTTCATTTTGGTGCCAAGCAAACAAAATAGTGTTCTGTATAGTGTTCTGGCTTTTCCTGTTCAAACTCTTTTCCACAGTTAATAGCTTATTCTTCTTATCTCTACTATTTTAAGTGTACCTAAAGTAAACTTAAGAGTACCTAAAAAGCCACAGAAATTTCCAAGGTACTTTGGTAAATTGAGCATAATCTTTACTAGAAGTACACTGAGAGCATAGGGGATCTCCAGTCCTGCTGTAGAAACTGAAGAAGTTCAACTTAGAGCTGAGCTCCTAACTTAAAAGAAACTGAATCCTCTCTGAATCAGGGAAATAAATCTCTTCGCTTTTAGGTCCTTGCTCTTTTTTATTTTCTTCTTTTTAAGCTGCAGTTTGGCTTACTGGTGGTTTATTTCAGGGAAGAAGTCAAAACCATTGCGTCCTGAGTCCCCTACTGCAACTCCAAACATATCTGTGAGAAAGAAAAACAAAGATGGAAAGGGTAAGTCCAAGAGTTGTCACTGAAGTTTTTAAAATAATATTGTTTCTGAGTGACCTGTAAAGAGAAACATTTGTCAGGTAAAAAGAAAGTGTTCACTAATTTTCTTGTGGCGTAAAACCAGGTCTTATGCTAAGAGGTAGGTAACATCTCATCTTATGGCAAGTGAAAACTTAGTGCACAAGATTTCTCGGTGAAATACCCAGTTCCTAGGGAGAACAACCCATTTGTCACTTTAATAGCAAAGGTTCTTGGAAACTCTTCAAGCTCCCGCAGAGGCTGCTGTGTTTTGAGGGAAGTCTTGGGGAGCACTTTGCATTGTATTAGGGTTTCTTGCGTTGTGGTTATTTTGACAGATGATCTTTGAAAACCTTTTCCATCTGTGTGTGTCTTAATTCTGCATAAGGAACTAATCAGGGCTGCCGGTTGGCAGCAGGAAGTACCAAGCCCTAAATTTTGAGGAATTATAATGGAGCTTGAAGACTTGGGCAGAAAACTTGGGGTTTTGATACTTCTTTTGTTCCTCCTGTGTTTAAAAGGAAGAAGAAAAATAAATACCACATAACTGACACAATAAATAATTTCCTCCAGACTGGACTATTCAGCAGTGCCTGTCAGTTTTGTCAGCAGCTCGGTTGGGTCCTGTTGGGTCCAGCACCCACACCCGTGCCCGGGCTGGTGTTTGAATGGCACCCTGACGCCACAGCCCCCACCGAATTCTGCTGTGCTCAGCGGGAGCTGGAAATGAGCCTCCCTTGTGTCACCACAAGTGCCTGCGACTGATTTGCGTTCAGTATTTGTCAGAAGAGAAGCCCAGCCAAACCTGGAAGGTGGTGACATAAGAATGTTGGACTCACAGGAAATAAAGACCTGTTTGCAAGCCATAAATATTTAACAGGCTAATGCCAGCAATTTTCAGTATACATTGTTGCCGCTTTTTTCTTTAAATTAAAACCTGATTTTTAAGTAAAAATGAAAGAAGAGTATCAGAGAACCCTTTAAATAGTGCTCAAATGAAATAATAGAAAATACTAAAGCAGCTAGCCACAAATTAAAAGGCAGAAGGGCCTAATGCTTTTGTTGATGACAGCAAGGATACGCCATATTTCATTGTTACAAAATTGCTAATTCAGAAGGAATTAAAAAGGAGCATGTTGCCTGAAACACTACCCGTTACAAAAAAAGCTACCACAAAAGCATTTGTAGCATTTTGAAGAACATAGAATTTAAGTAAAAGGTATATTAATATAACCCGCCATGGTAAGGAAGCAGCTGGGAGATCCTGAGAGTTGCCTGGCTCTCAGTATCTGTGTATGCTAAAATACCAAACTCTCCATATAATTATTTGGTGTGGTGTATGGAGAAAACTGAATTTTCTACATGTTTCTTCTGCTGTGACTCACAGGAGGTTAAAAATTCTGCCTATGCGTAAAGCAGAGGGGCAGACGCTCCTCTTCCCAGTCATTTTCAGAGGCTAAGCAGTGACAGATTTTCAGACTGCCCTGATGCAGCTGAGCATTTTGAGTCTCGACTGCAACAAAAGCAACCTGGATTAGATGGTGAGTGGCTGGGAATGCTCTCACTCCCGGCTCACTTTGTGCCTTGCCTCAGCAGTCTTAACCTTTGCCTTCAGGGTGTGCAAGGGCAAACAGAGGACTCTTTTATGTCAGCTGGGAGACATTTGGTGCAAAGGCAGTGATTTTTCTCTAGGGATGCTCACTTTGGAAGTTTTCACCTGCTGGAGGAGCCATTAAGATTTTGTACTGCCAGTGTTGTTGGCTTTGCTGAATATTTGCAAAATAGAGATTATAATACAGTCGTATGGGAGTTTTAATTTGTAAGACACCTCCTCTTGTTGGAAAAAGTTCGGACTGGTGGTTATTAAGGTTCAAAAACCTGCCAGGTGAAATTGAAGCTAACAAAAGAGATCCTGTCACCTTCTGGTGCATGAGGGATCATTTTTTCGTGAAACTTCAGAGCTCTGTGCACACTGTCCTTGCTGTGTTTTTGCATGGCTACTTGTGGGAGGTGATACTTTCACATAAGAAGTATTTTTTTCCTTTCTCAGACTAACAGCATATCACTAAGAAGCTTATGTGCAGCTTCAAATGTCCAAAAGAACATCAGACACCAAAAGCCTTAAAAAAAGCAGGAAAAAGGATCTCATTAGTCATACGAGTTTAGACTCCTTAAATGTGCTTTTGGGAAAAACGAATATGTGGATTTTGTACTAGTTTTAAGTATTCACAATCTCTGATTTTAATGCTGTTTCTTTATATGTGGTAAACACCGAATGGATGTGATGGGTTTCCATATAGGAGTGTTTGTGGCTGCTTGTCTGTAAAATGAAATTTGAGTGTTGTCTATCAGCAAGTGCTCACTGGATTAAAAAAAAAATCTTTTTCTGGACTTTATTTGTGAAGGTTTGCCTACCTCAGCATATGCCACTGCTTGCCCCATATAAATCTAATTGCTAAAAGTAAGGGTTTTGTTTAGCCTTTTAAAGGATTATAACACTCACCTCAATTCAGCAAAGTATTTAAGCAAGGGCTTAATTTCCAGCATTTCCAGAGGATGGACCTGAACGTGTTCCTATTCGAGGTAAAGCAATAGTGACTGCTTCTGTAACTGGATTAGGCAGGAGGGAAGCATACGCAGAGGTGACCAACGCTGTCCAGTGGTGGTGGTTGGAATGGGGTGACTGTAGCTTGGCTGATACCCAGCTGTAGGTTACAGGCAGTGGCTATGGTCTTTGAGCACCCAGATTGTAATAACTAACAAGAATCCCTTCCCATCCACTTCCATCAGTATTTCCTAGTCTTGATGATATACTACAGTGTATTCATAAAGGTACAGCTTCTTAATTTTTAGATTATTTACATTGTTAATAACATATGATCAACTGATTTATTTTTTTTTCTGTATCCTGAAATTCTTTTCTTTTAGGAAATACAATTTATCTTTGGGAGTTCTTACTAGCACTGCTCCAGGACAAAGCTACATGTCCTAAATATATCAAATGGACTCAAAGAGAGAAGGGCATTTTCAAACTGGTAGATTCCAAGGCTGTGTCCAGGTTGTGGGGCAAACACAAAAATAAACCAGACATGAATTATGAAACAATGGGTAGAGCTCTCAGGTACGTGCATTTTTTATAATAGACTGGTTTCGTTGCCTTAGTGTTTGCATGCATTAAATGTCTCTTCTAATTTGTGTACCGACAGTAAAGGGATAATGTTCTATCAATTTGGGAAATGGAGAAGTTATTTGTTACTTGAGAAGCAAAATAAATAAGGTCACTCAAAGTAACCCTTACTAACTTCAACCCCAAAGCTTCAACCTTCAGTCTCAGATCAGACATTTTCAGTGCTGCTGCAAAAACTGCATTTTCACAACTAGCCACGGACAAAGTAAGAGACTTCAGATTCCAAGTAGGCCAAGCCTTTTACATAAATGGTGAATGTTTTCTCAAAAAAATCCTGAATTCAGGTGTATTAATGAAATTATTTCTGCTTCTTGCAAGTGATCCCATTTCCAGTGGAAGATACAGTTTTAGAATTCAAGTCTGTGTGTGTTTCTCTGAACTTACGTGTACAGACACTTTTAAAACATCACATGCCTCTGCCCATCGGGCTGGGGTTTTTCACATTTTTGCAGAAAAGACTGTGCAAAATAAGCGGACATCCACAAGTGTGGGTGATGTGAGCTTCAGTCTTACCTGCTGATGTGTCATTTTCCAACTGAGCAGCTATACATTTCACTTCTCTTCACCCCTCAGCTTGGTGTGCATAATTTCAAATTGCCATGTTAATTTGTAAATGTAACAGAAGCAGTGCTCTCCTGTTCTTTTCCCCTTGCTTTGTCGTAGCTAAAACGTCTGCCTGTGCTCACTGGTGAATAAGCATGAATTCAGGTAACTGAAAGAGCTGTATGAGTCCAGGGGAGAATGGCAAGTTTTGTGCAACTTTTTTAAAGAGATGTCAGTTATCAGTTGATAACAGAGCTGCCAAGTCATGGAGTTCTCTTCCTCCTCAATTATTTGATGCTGCAATTAAAGGTGACAAGAAATACTAGTAAAAGAAATTTGTTTGAGGAGAAATTACGCTATTAAATTGGCCATTCCTTTATCATGAAGAAACTAGGCTCTTGAAATATTGAACATTAAGCTTCTACTCATTACTGCTGGTCTTACTGTCTGTGGGGGCTGTTGCCTTTTTGTTTGTTTATTTGTTTTTTTTGGCAAAAAACGCTGTGTAACTTGATGTGTGTATGGTTTACACAGATACTATTACCAAAGAGGAATACTGGCTAAAGTAGAAGGTCAGCGCCTAGTCTATCAATTTAAAGAAATGCCAAAAGATCTCGTCTATATAGATGATGAGGACGCAAGCCCTAGCACTGAATCATCAGATTCAAGTCTGCTCTCAACTCCTGTGGCCAACAGAAACCAATCGAGCAGGTCTAGAGCGTCCACGAACACGGGAACAAAGGGAGGCTCAACCGCAGTGCTCAAAACAGGAAACGCAAAGCCTGCTAAGCTGAAGGAGCACGGAGAGGTTGTGCAGCGGCAGACACCTGGCTTGACTTCAGAAGTTTTGAGGACAATGCAGTCTCCGCAGCCAGTACATCCCACGCAGCTTTTTCGGACAGTTCACGTAATGCAGCCATTGCAGCCCCTCGCGGAAGGACATGCAGCTGTAACCAGTAATGTTCCGGATGAAACGTTAAATCCTTCGGTTCAGAATATAAGGTAAGAAAATGTACAGAAAATAAATGTGTGAATAATAATAAATGCACTGGATGATGGCTAGATAGACCAGATTCTTTGTTGTGCTTCAAAATGTTGCTCATTTCCTGGTTCAGTCGAAGTGAAACAGCATCTTTGTTGCTGATCCTAGGAATTGGGAGTTACTGCAGCGTACTGCGATGTATGCGCTCAGAAATGCTCTGCCTTCGGTGGAGGAAAGCTTGTCTGTCCTGTGGTATTAGGCCTGATGCAAATCCTTGAGAGCAGAAAAATACACAACTTTTCTTTAAAATTGGTATCATCAGTTCTGTCCCGCAGCAGAGGCTGTTATTTTCATGGCTCTGCTTTTTCACCGTTTGGTGTCGTCACTTTTGAATTATACATGGTGTGTCTGCATGATTCCTTCAAAAAGATTTTCCTTCTTGGTTCTTAATTTTTCTTCTGAAGCATTTTTTGCCATGTCTTTCATCTTTTGTGTTGTCCCCAGCTACAACAGGGAAAAGCTCCGCGTTATCTACTCTTAACATTTTGCTGCTGTTACAAGAGTGTGTTCTTTTGATTGTAGAAAACAATTAACAGAGTAATCTCATGGGAGTTGAGTATGTGCAGACTATTCTGGGAGTCAGTCATACTTCCATGGGTAATTTCTAATTCAGCTGGCTAACACTACACAGCATTTAAGCATTGTGGCTCCTTTGCACCTACCTGTGTTAGCAGCACCATCTGAATTGAAGAGTCTTTAAAAGCAGTCATTTACCCCTGGTTTTACGCTAGCCTGAGGAAGAAGTTCTTTACTGTGAGGGTGGTGAGACACTGGCACAGGTTGCCCAGGGAAGTTGTGGATGCCCCCTCCCTGGAAGTGTTCAAGGCCAGGTTGGACAGGGCTTTGAGCAACCTGGTCTGGTGGGAGGTGTCCCTGCCCATGGCAGGGGCTTGGACTTGGATGATCTTCAAGGTCCTTTCCAACCCAAACCGTTCTGTGATTCTATGAACATAACTTTTTTTTCTTTGAGATTTGCTCTGTTAACATCACTGTTACAGTGTTTGGCATTTTGTACCACAAAATGGAATAAAGCTATTTCCTGCTCCCTTCCTCTGTTCTTTCCTTTGAAAAGTACATCCAGAGCCACCGATAGATTTGAAGTGGTACTGACTATCTGGGGTTAACCATGCAATTTTGTCAGAAGTAAGTGATAACATGAATGAGACCAAATAATGTCTTCCTTTTTCAAGGAATAAGTTTTGATCTCTCATCTCTGCTACTAGAGGGGATGTTTGTAAAAGTTAGTCAGTTATTAAAGCTCCACTCATATAAAAAGAAAATCCAGAACAGCAGTAACAGCAAGGATTTTCAGAAGAACTGAAAGAAGAACTGAAACTCTTTATATCAGCCTCCAGTGTCTGATATAATAGAATCAGTATGAAATGTTTCTAGAGGTAACCAAATAGTTGAGGAAGCTGAAGATTTATATATAGGAAATGACAAACCCAAGACTGCAACTTTCATCAAGAAAAAAAGTTATATTATCCCTTTTTTCCTTAAGGGAAAAAAAACCCCAAATGTTAAAATTATCCCTTGACTTCCTAGTTTGAATCCTTTTATTTTCTAAAAAAATATGCAATGTTTTCATTTATGCTGCAATATGAAAAATTCACACTGAAAAGAGAAATTGACTGGTTAGTAAGGTTGCAAGGGAATTGAGCCATGAAATCATTGAGCCATGAAAGCAAAAATCCTTTTCATAGTTACTTGTAAGCACTGTAAAACAAACTGGAAAGAGTAACGATTTTTAAGAGACAAAATCTATTTTCATTTGCCTTTTAATTCTAAAATTTGAAATCAAATTGTGTTTCTCTTATTGTCGTAACCAACTAGAATTAGTTCAAGATGCACAGAGCGGAGGGAAGAGTTATATTTGATCAGGAGTTTGTGTGAAAGATAATGATGAAGAATTTGACCAAAGCAACCCCTAACCAACCATTTTTGAATTAATTTAGAAAATTAATAAAAATCTTCATCAAGGTGACATCTTGAAATTTTTTAAAGCTTAGAACGAAGCTACTCTGTACAATGCAATCCTGTGATTTCAGGGTTGATGAAGGATTTAATTACTTGTAAGTTATAAAAAGTGACTAGTGTAGTACAGTGAAAGGAAATGAATATAGACAGACATAACTGAAGCTCTGCAGTACCATTTAAGTCAGTAGAATAATGCTATTAAACATCCATGGGCAAGAGTTCAGCAATTTACAGAGTTAAATAGCTCTAGGCTAGACCCACAGTAGATTACATATCAAAATCATGTCAACAGTGTAGAGGTTATAAAAAATGGCAACAACAAACAGAAGTATCTCTAAGACCTAATAAGGCTGGCAGCAAGAAGTCCAGCCTAACATTTGGAAAGCTGCTCAGTGACATTAGGACATCAGTTATTGCATCATGGTGTTTCACAATCGGACCTTGGGCAATGAGCTAAGGGGAAAAAAGTAGTGGAGTTGATACACGTGTCAAGTTCCAGTGAAGTAAAGGCCTTAAAGCCTGAGTGTTCTCTATTGCATTGGAACTAATCCTGTGTTAGTAACTTAAAATGTTATTCCATGAAGTCTTAATTGCACCTTCCTTGGCCAAGATGACAGTGTCTCAGGTGAAGGAATATAAAAAGACCCATTGGATCTTTTCGGTAGAGTACGTAATTACTGAATGGTGTAGAAGTATCGTGAATTAAGAAAGAATGTACTAAGGTGTGTGAGCAGTTACAATGAAAATAAGAACCACAACCTCAAATTTTTTTGTGTGCGCTTTTAACCAGGATGGGCCAAGCTGAAAACCAAGGTGCTGATGAGTCCTGGGCACTACCCATTCCAGGCTCTCAAAATACAATTTATGACAGATACATTTCTGCTCAGTTTCAAAATGCAAACTTCAAATAGTTTGGTGAGGTAGGACACACTGAACATTTTTTGGAGCATATATTTTGGGTCTTGTTTTATAATAAGGCTAAAACAAAGGAACTGGATTTTGGGTTGGTTTGTTCAAGCAGCCATAAGTCTCTAGCAGATGAACCTATTTTTGTACATGGTTTGAATGCAGTGGAGCTTCCATAAGGATGAAATGAGTGGTCTACGTGATTTGAAAATGTACAGCATGTACAATTGCCATTGTAGAACAAAAGCTGACAAATCTGATGTTTGCACCTCTCTGTGAGGCTGTGGTTGGAGTCACTTTATAGTAGTTTTATAAGGAAGCATGAGGACAAATAGCAACACTGGTTGCCAGTCGCTGTTCAGAGATTGGGGCACATAGGCAGTCAAGGACATTTGGGAGAAAGGGCCACCAGGCTTTGGGAGTTATCCTCGAGAGTTTTTCTGACCTGTTCTGGTTAGTGGTTGGGCTCTGCTTTGAAGCACAAACATCTTAGACCCATATAATTTGTCTTACATAATGTAGCTTCTAAAGTTTTATTCATATAAATGTTCTTCTCTCTTCTTCACGGAAATCAATGTTCTTCCCTCTGCAGTAATTTGCTTCTGTTGTGTTATGAGAAGAAAATTAATTATGGGATTGACCACATACTATAGAGAAAATATTGTGGATATTAGAGGTCAAAACAATTGGCTTTTTAACAATTTGGCTGCTGTATGCAGGGGAGACCAGAAGTGTTGCTTACCAGGGGTAGGTGCTTCTTCTTCAGCCCCAGTGCTTAAACAAGAAAGGCTGTGGTGTGGTGCTACCCCAAGCTTGGGAAAGGGGGCAAGAGCAGGGTCAGGCCATGCAAACTGGGTTTTGCAGACCGGGAAAGACATCCAGTATCCCCAGTGGGAATATTCAGAGTTGGAAACTCACCGCTCTGCAGGTCTGACCACTCTGGCTCAGTTACTGCAGTCTCCAGTCGTGTAACCGGGAGCTGAATTTGGCGCCGCCTGTTTCCAGTGATAAGACAAAAATAAAAATGCCTCTCTGGATGAGCATTTTGTTTCTAACTTTTTCCAATGAGCCAGCTTTTTTAAAAAAGTCTTTGAATTCAGCGCCTGTAAAATTGTTCAGTTTAAACCAGAATAACTGACAGAGGTTAACCAGAGGTTCTGGTTTATTGAAGTAACTCTGTTTTAATTTGGGATTCAGAGGCACTGACGTAGGCCTGGGATTCAGCTCCACGTTCATTGGGTCATTTTGAGTGTAAAGGGCATCCTTTCTGTTGCTGCAGAAAGTGTATGTCACCTGTAAGACCAGGGACTTTTCCTTGACTAGGACATCGTACGGGGCTCTCAAGTGTCCATGTCTGGGAAATTCAATTACTCCCTTAAATGACTGGGGCTGCAGGTAGAGAGGCATTTTCACTTGCCTTTATCAAGAGTAGTAGTGATTTAAGATGGAATGGCTTGTGGATGGAGTGAAAAGAGGCTCTCATGTTACTAACAGTTCAAAGAAGATCTTATTGCAAGTAATTTAAAATTCTGTGTCTCTGTTTGTTAACACTGTATGAGCCATAGCTGAATCTAGCTGGCAGCTCTGCGTAGCAGGAAACTTGCCATTAGTTGACTGCTAACAGATTCTGTGCAGTGCTTTAGCAGAATTCAGGTTTTAAACACAACGTTTTCATCAAAATCCAGTTTATTGTTTCTTTCCTGTATTTTCAAGTTGTCATTGTGATAGCTTGGACAGAGCATGTTAGAAGAGCAGTATCTGACTCTGTTCTGCACCTGGGGAAAAAGCTAACGCAGGCCACAGAGGACCAGTGGGATGTGCTCTGTGTGCGTTCACTTCTGAACTGGAGAACTGCTACATACAAATCAGCCACAGCTTTCACCTTTTTGCAGCCTTTGGGTAGAAGACCTTGCAGTAATTCATTCCTGAAGGTGACACAAGCGTGGACCACAGTGGCAAGATCCTCATTCAAGAGGAGAAGGAAGGAAGTAGCTGAAGGTGAACAGTCTTTCTTCTGGGCATGAGCGTTCTGTGTAAGAACATTGAGGAAGTCAACACTATGCCAACACAGTGGATA